GTGACTGGGGAATGACTAGCACATACATGTGAGGGGAACCTTTACTTTTACCTCATTGTATGGAGCATGGGTTGTATGTAGTCATAATAACATTCCTTTCTCAGAAAGTCAAGGCTGTCTTGCCCTGCACCCGGGAGGCCTGTCCAATTGGGACCGTGCTGTAATTGGACCATGTGATGGATTTGTGGGTGTTGGGCAGGGATTTGAACTTTCCTTTGGGGTGGGGAAACCTTGGAAGCTTTCAGATTCGGGTTTCCCCAGATGTGCCAATATGATACCTCTAATAATATATAGCTTTGAGGAAATTCAAACCTCAGAGTTTCTTTTCATTGGAGGTGTTACTTGGAACCCTGACACATACAGAGAGTGGTGAGGACAGCTGAGAAGATTATAGGAAGCTCACTTCCTGTTATTCAGCATGCTGCTTATAAGCGCGATGTGTTTAGAACTTGAAGGGTTGTGAAAGACCCCAGACACCCACTTCTCCATCTGTTTCTGTTGCTCCCCTCTGGGAGGAGGTTTCAAAATATTTCTAGCAGGACTACCAGATTCTGTAATAGCTTTGTTCCCTATATACCATCCGTCTGGTAAACTCACAAGATTTGTTTCTCTCGCTATGTACATATATACATCCGAACTAGAACTGAGGTTGTTTCTCTGTGTCATATAAGATATGTGATATATGCATAATTTTGTATTTATTTATTTATTTTGTCATGTTCACATGTATGAACATGTATGAATGTGTATATGTATGAACATTTATGAACTTATGTATTGGAGATGGTGACCCTTTTTAGAGCTCTATGGAACGAAATTTCATTTTAATGTATGCCGATTAGTGTACATTCAAAGTGACAATAAAGCTATTCTATTCTATTCTATTCTATTCTATTCTATTCTATTCTATTCTTTCTATTCTATTCTATTCTATTCTACTTTACTCTACTCTACTTTACTCTACTCTACTCTACTCTACTCTACTCTACTCTATCTTCATTCCACTATTCTATTCTTCATTCCTCTATTCTATTCTATTCTATTCTATTTGATTTGATTTGATTCGATTCTCTCATTCTTCTATTCTATTCTATTCTATTCTATTCTATTCTTCTATTCTATTCTATTCTATTCTATTCTATTCTACTCTACTCTACTCTACTCTACTCTACTCTACTCTACTACAACTCCCAGAATTCCCCAACCAGCATGGTCAAGAACATTCTGGGTTTTTATATACAGGTAGTCCTCAATTTACAACAGTTCATTTAGTGACCACTCAAAGTTAAAACGGCACTAAAAAAAGTGACTTATGACCATTTTATACACTTATGACCATCTAGGGAGCTTCTCAGTCCTCCAGGTCATGGTTGTCCCAAAGGTGCTTTTTCAAGAGGCAACTGGACTTTCTGGTTTTTCTTTGAAGACGTTTCGCTTCTCATCCAAGAAGCTTCTTCAGCTCTGACTGGATGGTGGGGAATGGAAGGATTTAGCTGCAGTGTCGCAGTGGTTAGAGTGCAGTACCAGCAGGCTGACTGCAATTTGGCAGATCGAATCTCACCAGGCTCAAGGTTGACTCAAACTTCCATCCTTCCAAGGTGGGTCAAATGAGGACCCATATTGTTGGGGGCGATAGGATGACTTTGTAAATCTCTTAGAGAGGGCTGTAAAGTACTGTGAAGTGGTATATAAGTCTAAGTGATATTGCTATGGTCCTTCCTCCCTCCCTCCCTCCCTCCCTCCATTCCTTGCCAGTGGTTAGAATGCAGTATAGAAGGCTGACTCTGCCCACTGCCAGTAGTTCAAATCTCACCAGGCTCAAGGTTGACTCAGCCTTCCATCCTTCCGAGATGGGTAAAATGAAGACCCAGATTGTTGGCGGCAATAAGCTGACTCTGTAAACCTTTTAGAGAGGGCTGTAAAGCACTGTGAAGCAATAGCACTTAGACTTATATATCACTTTATAGTACTTTACAGCCCCCTCTGATCGGTTTACGGAGTCAGTCTCTTGCCCCCAACAATCTGGGTCCTCATTTTACCCACCTCGGAAGGATGGGAGGCTGAGTCAATCTTGAATTGGTCAGAATCGAACTGCTGGCAGTTAGCAGAGTTAGCCTGCAATACTGCATTCTAACCACTGGGAGGGAGGGAAGGAAGGAAGGGAGGGAGGGAGGGAGGGAGGGAGGAAGGAAGGAAGGAAGGAAGGAAGGAAAGGCAATAGTACTTAGACTTATATGCCACTTCACATAAAAGAATGCAAATGACTAGTTGTCTGCAAGGAGTATAAATAGCAATATCACTTAGACATAGAGTCAGTGAGGCCACTTGGAGGTTTATCTATGTTTTCAGTATCACCTGAGTAGTGCAAACGGGTGTGGAGCCTTCTTGGAACTGCTGAAAAGACTGTGTTGTAGACTGGAGATAGATGATGTTGTATTCCACTTGACTTTTCTTGCTATGTAGTTCCCTTAAATTATCTTACTTAAAATTACTTACTTAAAATTAAAATTATCTTACTCTTCTTGTAGATACTGGGCTTTGATCCAATCCATTTGGATGTTTCAAAATGATTCAGAGAAAAAAATATATTTGGGCAAGACTAAACAAAACAATTAAGACGTGAAAGCATGATGTTGTGACTTTTTATTAACATAAGAACAATTTTACGCTGGACTTTCCTACCCTGGTACTCAAATTTTGAAACCACCCCATAAAAACACAGACCAGGTCAAAACTTCGTATAAAATCCGTTCATAAAATAATGGGCTGTTGTTTTATTGGTGCAAACAGATTCCTAGTCATGCAAAAAAAGCAGGACTTTTGTTATCCTTTTCCCCCCTGTTGTTTCCTGAGCATCCAGTGAAAATTAGATGATCCTTAAAAGTTGAAATTAGTTCTTAGTGAATTACTGCAGAAAATGATTAGAAACCCACATGCAAATATTATTCACCCATGTATCTGCATAATACTTTCCTGTTTAGCACCTTTTTAATCCAGCCTGTTATGTAAAATAATTACCATTGTGATATGTATCCCTGACTTCCCACAGGCCGAGATAGATGTGAAAGCCAATGAGATCATCATTTATTTTCCAAAATAATAATACACACACGCTAAAACCACACAGGGAGAAAAAAAAATCTATTAATCCCAATGCTTCTAGCAGATGGCAATTTGAGAAAGACTGATGTAGACACAGAACATGTCCTTGGACACAGAATACAGGTACTCCTCGACTTACCACCACAATTGAGGCCAACATTTCTGCTGCTAATTCAGACATTGGTTAAGTGAGTTTTGTCCCATTTTACGACCTTTCTTTCTTTCTTAAGGGACGTGGTGGCTCAGTGGCTAAGACACTGAGCTTGTCGATCGAAAGATTGGCAGTTCAGCGGTTCGAATCCCGGGTGCCGCGTAATGGGGTGAGCTCCCATTCCTTGTCCCAACATCTGCCAACCTAGTAGTTCAAAAGCAGGTAAAAAATGCAAGTAGAAAAATAGGGACCACCTTTGGTGGGAAGGTAACAGCGTTCCATGTACCTTTGGGGTTGAGTCATGCCGGCCACATGACCATGGAGACGTCTTCAGACAGCATTGGCTCTTCGACTTTGAACCGCCCCCTACAATCCAGAATGACTAGCACATATGTGCGAGGGGAACCTTTACTTTTACCTTTACCTTACAACCTTTCTTTACAGAAGTTGTTAAGTGAATCATGGCTGTTATTAAATTAGTAACACGGTTGTTAAGCAAATCTGGCTCCTCCCTTGGCTTTGCTTGTCAGAAGGTCGCAAAAGTTGGCACTATCTGAATTTTGATCACGTGACTGTCGGGATGCTGCAACGATCTTAAGTGTGAAAAATGGTCAAAAGTCACTTTTTTCAGTGCTGTTGTAACTTTGGTCACTAAATGAATTGTTGTAAGTCGAGGACTACTTGTAATAAATGTGTCAACCCTGAAGTGAACCTGGCTGAGGCCATCTTGGAGACTTCAGAGTTGCCATACAGCAGAAGGTTTAGGGAGGAGGGAAATACGTAGATGGGGGTTTGTAGCCAAAACAATAAAGTTTTCCTGTGGGAACCAAGGACATTCTCACAGGTGCTTAGCCAGAGGAGGAGTGAAGTAACCAAGCAACCAGCCAGCACCTTGATTGGACAGCATGACCGGTAACTTGAGGGAAAGGGTAAACTTTTACTTTTTAATTAGGTGAAAGCCGGAGGAACTTTCAGAGTCGGTTTTCCCCAGTTGTGCCAATCAATTGTTCTTTGAAGAGTTTGCCTGCCTCAGAGTTCTGCTTTCTATGGGTGCATTACTTGGAACGCTGATATAATGAATTAGTCTTACTTCTTTATTTATTAAACTTGTATGTCACATATTTTACTCTGCAAAGTTTCTCTGGGCAAATCACAAAACAAGCAAACAAACTAGTGGTGGGTTTCAATTTTTTTTACTACCGGTTCTGTGGGCGTGGCTTGATGGGCGTGGCATGATTTAGTAGGTGTGGCTTGGTGGGCATGGCAGGGGAAGGATACTGTAAAATCTCCATTTCCTCCCGATCAGCTGGGACTTGGGAGGCAGGGAATAGATGGGGGCGGGGCCAGTCAGAATTTTTACTACCGGTTCTCTGAACTACTCAAAATTTCCACTACCGGTTCTCCAGAACTGGTCAGAACCTGCTGAAACCCACCTCTGAAACAAACAAACAAACAAACATATCTGAGTAGTAATTAAAAGGCAGCACCTTGGGAGAGATTTGACAGGTCCCACATCTCAAGACATGAACCAACGGAGAGAACCCAACCCAGGTGCAACTGATTTTAACTTTGCTTTTGGTGATGCTGCGATTCTTGGCCAGTTGTTCGTTTCTTCCGCCATTGCTGTAAGCACCTTGCCCAAAAACTGCGCTGCAGTTTCAGGAAGGGAACAGAAAAATCTCAGTGCAAAATTGATTCTGATCGCTCGATTAACTTTCTCTCCCCTCTGTCTCTCGAATTCTTTTAGCAGACGGACGATGCAGCACAGACCGACGGTCAGCAACAGACACAATCTTCTGAAAACACAGAGAACAAATCACAGCCCAAACGGCTGCATGTTTCAAATATTCCCTTCAGATTTCGGGATCCAGACCTCAGACAAATGTTTGGGGTAAGCAATGGTTTCCTTATAACACTCTTACTGTTGCTTTTATTCCTTGTTTACGTTCAGTGTGTATCTATGTATGTATGTACTCAGCTGTTATGGCTGCCCATCTTATTCTCAGCAACTCATTGAAAACCAAGCTAGGAAAGATATTTTAGACAACAGTTTAACATTATTCAACGTGTCAAGACCCACAAATAAGACACTTTCTCAGCCAAGCATGGAGGTGAGGCTGACCAAATTCCTGGCCCCAGTGCCTGAGGGAAGAGTCAGATTTTTAAAGTTTTCTGAAAAGCTAAAGTCAAAGTCATCCAAACCTTGAGGAGAAATGTAGAGGCCAAGCACTATGACATCTCTTTAACAGACCATGTCTTCTTCAGCTGCTAGGACCTAGCTGGGCAGCCTCATTTTGATGCTGAATTGTGCAATTTACTTTACTTCTTTTTGGTATTCCACTCCGGTGTTGGTTTGCAGAAAACAACAGAAAAAAAAGAGAAAAGAACAATATATTATAATGTATCACATCTAATGCAGTTTATAGACTCATGGAGGTAGGTGTAATATAATATAGTTCATTTTATGAACTGGATTTCGTAGCCTCTCTAACAGTTTGTGGCATAAAAGATGTACTATTAGCTTCTACCAGATCTTTTAGTCCTGAAGTTGATGAAGGGTGCCATTTGACACAATCCTCACTGAACTGAAGTTGAACTGACAAGGATTGTCCAGTAGCACTTCTGGAAATTGTTAGAAGCCAGTTTCTAAATTCTGGTAGCACGGAAGACAGCAGATGTAGAGCCACAGGCTGGCATGAACATAACTCCAAGACCTCTAGCAGAATGGTCTCAAGTTACTCTTGCTAACTGAGAAGGAGAGCAGCCAATTCTTCTTGCAAAATGTCTGATGTTCAAATGGAAGGTCAACTGCACTGAAGAAATAGGACCATCCAGTAGTGCGGGAGCTTTCCAGTATCAACTGGAAAGATGGAACATAGGTACTGAAACATGGACATTGTCCATTTCCATACTCCATCAGAAAATACAAGAGCGGAAAGAATGCAGTCCAAGGGATAGTTTTTCATTGAACCATAGAGTTGGAAGGGACCTAGTGAGTCAGCTGGTCCCAACTCTTCCCCAATGCAAGAATCCTCACACCATCTCAAACAAAATGGCTGCCGATTCTTTCTTGAAAATTTCAAGTGATGCAGTACCTATGTGTCCAGATAGCAGCCTACTCCACTGCTTCATAATTCTCTCATCATCAGGATATTCCTTCCTATTTCAAGTTTGGATCGCTCTCCATGACTCTTCACCCAATGGTACTTCTCATATCCTACAATCCTGTGGAGAATAAATCCATACCCTCTTCCTTGTGACCTTCATATATTGGAAGACTGCTAGCACATTTCCTCTTAGCTAAATATACCATGTTCCTTTAACTGTTCTTCATAGGAGTTAGCCTGCAACCCCCCTTTTTCACTGATGAGTTGTTCTAACCAAAGAACGGCTGATTTTGGACCTATATATTTATATTCCACCATTTATTCATAGCAATACTGTAACATAACAAAACTATAACATAGCATATTTCAAGAAGCATATCGGGAAGGGTTTCAGATTGGGCTCATGACCCTGTTCATTATCTTTCTTCCCCACTGCCCTCTCCCTTCCCCCTCCCATACGCTCCTCTTTCCTGCCCTGTCTACGATCCTGACACTTTGCCCCAAATCCATTAGACACTTCCCCATTGCTCCACTGGAGGGTGAACATCATGGCTGCCTTTCCAGAGGAAGCTGCGAAGGAACTGACATCACAAACAATTGCCACTCTAGGATGCCGCACTCGCTCTCCTTAATGGCCCAGACATTCTACAGTTATGCTGGAACACACACACAGAAACACACATCCACACACCAGGGGTGTCTTACCCCCACAGTATTTGTTTCCAGATAGTAAGTCATCTGTGTACCAAGTCTGGTTGAAATTGCTTGAGGCATTCCAGAGTTATGCTGGAACATACATACATACAGCCTTTTTTATATAGATAGATTCCACCATTTATTGATAGCAAAATATATTTCAAGAAGCATATTGGGAAGGGTTTCAGATTGGGCTCATGACCGTGTTCATTATCTTTCTTCCCCATTGCCTGTCTTAATGCCTCAAACTGGAACCTCTTCATAACAAAACATGAGAGAAGGTGCATGGTTTCAGGTCATTTACCCAGTGTCACAAGAAGACCACTTAGTGAATGAGTGAGCTGGATGGATGTTCTGTGTCTTGGCTGGCTTTAGATACGAAGATCAAAACACAAGGTTAAGTAGCATTAGAAATGGTCCCATCACTTCTAGACTTCTTGGGATGTAGACATTTCCTTGAGTGTTTTCGGTTGTGATCCTGGGGTCTTTCTGCTGAGAGCCAAGAAACTGCTGGGAGATGTTTTTTTAAAAAAATGAACTGTGGAAGCACTGTTTTAAAAAGTAAACTCCTCGATAGTTTTCAACAATAACTGCTTTGCAGGCAGTGTCCAAGCTGTCTATACTTCTTAAATTACCAAATTCCAAGGTTTTGCCCCAAGAGCAGTTGAAGAGTCAGGGAAGGCTGAGAAGCACAAGAAAACCTGTCTGAGAGAGAGATACTTTGTCACCTTGTAATGTTTTACAAACACAGTCACACAGCTGGGAAATATAATCCATTGGAACCACTCTTCCAGTTTAGGAATCACGGCCCCAAGTGCTCCTACCACACTGAGACTGCTTTGGCCTTGACTTTCAACATCCTCTCTAGTTCCTTCTTCAGACCCTGTTCCTTTTCCAGTATCTCATACTCTTTCTTCCTGATGTTGCTGTCACTTGGCACCACTACATCTGTTACCAACACTGTCCTCTGATCCCTGTCTGCTACCATGATATCTGACTGATTGGCCAATACCTGCCTATACATCTGGATCTGGAAGTCTCACAGGATTTTAGCTCTCTTATTCCCTACAACCATCTGTGGAATTTCTGATCTAGACTTGAGAGAGTCTTGCACATAGACTGTGTCGATACTGCTCTTTACAATGCCAGTTACAATGATACCTCGGTACTCATTGTTAATTGGTTCTGGGAGATGCGATGAATATCAAAAACAATGAGAAGCGAACAAGTTTTTCCCATAAAGAATAATGCAGCAAGTCCAAAGGTAGCCAACATTGACAAGTTCTAGGTTGTGCATTAAGTACTGAACAAATGATGACTACCGGGACACTTTTTTTGTGTCAAAATATGTTGAGTACCAAATTCGATGAATTTCAATGTAGTTTGAAACCACTACTTGGTTGTGACGTTCAGTGTATGCTTTCCCCAAAGTTTCCCCACTTGGGAATTCCCAATTAAGAAACAGAAAAAAGAAAAACTTCAAGAAACAGTACAGATTTTTTTTAAAAAAAAAAGAAACGTAAGAAGAGACTTCTAATCTTATTTACCGCAATTAAAAACAAACTAATTATTCCACTCCCTCTTTTAAGATTACTATGCAACTTACCTTTTAAGCCTTTCTCACACAGAGGTGGACAAAAATGTTGATATATTTTCTCTTGAAACTAAGGCTAGCCCACCATTTAAGACTAATTTATCTTAATTCATTAACTAATTGCACTTTAAATGAACAAAGTCATCATATTATTAATGGGTTCTTTTTACCATGTAAAAGGAAATAATTTGCAGTTCAATTAAGATGCTTGTAGTAGGCTTGTTAACATCACTGGAAGGGTAACATTTTAAATATATCCCTTTGACAGCAGCATACTGGAGCCAAACTCATATTCCAATGTGCTTCTTTCTCAAAGAGTTGTGGTTTGTTTATTTATTTACTACATTTGTGTAGCCGTCCATCTGGCCAGTGTGACTCTGGGTGGCTCACAGCAATTAAAAAAACAACAGCAACCGTAAAAAAATAAATAAACACAACAACATGCAACTCCCAAAACCATGATTAAAAATTCAATAACATATAATCCCAGTCAACTGCGTGAATATTATTTAATATAGCCGTTGCTAAGACTCGCCACTACTGCTAAAGCCCCAGGCACAATTTCAGAGCCAATTCTTCGAACCCTTCCTAAAGACTGCAATAAAGATTTGATTTGATTTGATTTGATTTAGGTGCCAATCTAAATTCTGGGATAATTATGGGTTTTGTTTTGTTTTTTCAAAAGATGGGTATCACGGCAGAAAAACTTCTCCTCCTGGGTTCCATCAAATTAAAGTCCATAGTAGATGGAACTGGTAAGATGCAACTCCTGCCAGATCTGATGTAGACAGATGTTCAAGGAGAGGAAGATTCTTACATGACAATGCTGTTGCTATTGTTGTTCATTTATATTATTCTGTTGAGGCTGAATCTGTGTATCTCATAAGGAGAAGAGCTCAAAGATGCTACTTAATCTTAGTAGATTAATCCAAAGAAACTATCCAATTAACAAGCTGTAGTGGGTATTGTCTGGAAGTTGAGTCATGGCAGCTGGACTTACAGTAGTGGCCAAAATTGTGGAAACCTTTTGGGAAAAGTGTATTTTTGAGATACCCATATTCTACTGCTGGAATGGCCTGGGAATAGCCCAGACCTTAACCCAATTGAAAATCTATGGAGCTGACTAAAGAAACTTGTTAGTCAGAAGCAACCCAGCAATAAAACCCAGTTAATAGAAGCCATCCCTCAATCTTGGTTTCACATGATAACAGCTGCAGAACTAAAAGACTTGGTTCGCTCCATGGGAAAACATTGTAAGGCCATAATTCATGCTAAAGGTTACCCAATTAAGTATTAACTGACATGGTGATAATTTTTGTTTATCTCATTTTTTCTATGTGTTTCACTTTTCTTCTTTATACTGTAACTGCTATTCTAATAGCAAATCCTTCATAAAGTTTTTGCCTTACATTCTTGATTAAATTATCTTTCCATTGATATGTAATTTTATGGTAAAGGTAAAAGTTCCCCTCACACATATGTGCTAGTCGTTCC